TAAGGATAGAATTACACCTACTTAAAGGTGTCACTTAGGTGTTATGAGTGTTGGAAAGCAAGGAAAGTTAAACTCATGTTATGTGGGATGATTCAAAATTCTTGAGATGAGTCTTGAGGTATTGAATCACTACTTTTGTGAAACTCCAATGGAGCATTATACACCAAGGGATGAAACTTTGGAAAATGAAAAAAGATATGAGGAAAAATTTCTCTATTTATTTTGAAAATGAAGATAAATCAATTTTTGAGGACGAAACTTTTAATAAAGTGGATAGAATGGAATACCCCAGCCCAAATAATATTTAGGTTACAATATTGACATATCCCAAGTGAAACAAATAGGACTTTAAAATAATTGGGTTTAAACCATTTTTATACACTGAGATTTATTAGAATTTATCTAAACATATACAATTGCCTTAGTGAAGAAAACCTAAAACTAAGAAGAATTTCACTAGAATACTTTGTGTAGCATTTTGAGATTTTCAAGAACAACTTGAAGAATAAACAAAAAAAAGGATATTGCTTGATTTATCATCACAAGGTGACTAAAAAAATTCTTTTTAATTCAAGAAAAATATTTGTTTGATTTAGAAGAATTTGGATTAAAATTGAAAAAGGAATATCCTAGAAGAATCGAGTTTTGTATATTGTACCATCACTTTAAGTTTGATTCTTTACTAACTTATGGAACTTTTTCTATTTGAGTTATATATCGTTGGAAAGTTATATGAGTTTATTTTCTAATGAACTAAATGGAAGTAGATTCCAAGTTTCCTATATAAAGATATAATTGTTTTATATATATATATATGTATGTATATAAAGATAGTGCAAATTGCCTGATAGCAATGTCAGAGCAATTTCGAAGATATTTTGCACTTTTTCTAAAAAGACTTTAGTTGGATTGTAATAATTACATAGATGATACTGTAAGATATGTCAATATGACTTCATTTGAGAATTTAAATATGAATGCAAGATAGAAATGCTTCATATTACGCTGGAGCTTAATCTCAAGGTAATATGGTCTTATCATGTCTTAGTTTTGAGGCTTGACAATAAGTATGGAATTGTTAATATGACTTCATTAGAAGACTTTTACAAGAATGAAAGATAGTAAGGTTTTGTATTACTTTAGGGCTTAATCTCAAGATAATATGATTATGTCATGTCTCGGTTTTGGGGCATGACAAACTCACTTCTCAAATTTTGGCTCTTAACTTAATTTTAGTCATGCTCGCTTTAAATTTGAACTAATGCATCCATTGATCAACCAAACCCAACTTATATCCCTGAATTCCATGGAATGTTAGAACCTAAAAACCTTCTAAGCTCCCATAGTTGCTTATTGAAGGATTGACATATCAGCCAGATTTGTGTTTTTTCGAAGCTAAACGCTCTTCACTTTTAGACCAATTACGAACCAGGCTTTCTTATTTGATCAACTTTTGGTTGTTTCCTCTGCTTTTTGACCTTTCAAAAGTTGATTAGACCTAGTATAACCTTGTTCGTTATTTACTTTAAAATAAGAGAAAATTATAAGAAATAACTCTCTTTATAAGCCTATTTAAGAAAAAACCATCAATATAAGTTAAATATTTTTATCTTATTATAGTCATAAAATGACCAAAATACCTTTAAAACTATTTTGAACAAATTAAATGCCTTTAATTTTTTTTCTCATGCCATTCATCTACTATGCTCCCCATTTTTCTCTCTTGGCATCCAACTTTCTTTAATTTTATCACCATCACCATATTTTTCTATCTATCTCTCATCATCTCACCATATTGTTCATCAATCTATAGACTAAAAAGCATGATATGAAACATAACAATATATTCTTGAGTTTATTGGTTTACATTCACAAAACTCTTTTTCTATCTATCTCTCACCATCTTATCATCGATGAATAGACTAAAAAGCATAGTATGGTGAGTAACATCAGCGTTTTAGATTTATTGATGTTGAGTTTTCAATGATTCAAGTTTGATATAACATGCCTTAGTGTGTAACAAAGTGATTCATGTCTTAGCATGTAACATCAGTAGGAGGAAAAAGGCTTTAGCATGTAATATCCGATGCCACAGTTTTGACCTTGTCGTGTAACGTCTAGTGCTAAACCTTTGGCCTTAGCATGTAACATCTAGTTCTAAACCTTTGGTCTTGGCGTGTAACATATGGTGTTCAAGTTTTGATATGTAATATTTTTTGAATACGACGTGTAACAACAATATTTATTAAGCATGACGTGTAACTTGCTCTTTTGCATTTTATTACAACATAAACTCTTAAAGTTAAAACATGAAACAATTTTTTTTTCAATTGTAACAATATTTTTTTAAACATAACATGTAATAACAACATTTTTTAAATATAATGTATAACTTATTTTCTATTTTCATATTTCGTTAAGCTATAAACTTTTGGAGTTAAACACGTTCACGATCGAGATAAAATTTAAAATCAAAAAGGAATTTATCATGAAAATGAAGATGTATTGAAAAATTATTCAACATCAAACTAGAATAAAATGAATTTGGGCAAAAGGATATTATCTTGAAAAATATTCAATGTCAAACTAGAATAAAATGGATTTGGACAAAAAGATAGTATCCAAAATCCTCTAATTCAAATAATTAACTTTTAGGTTATTTTATTTGTTATATTTCTTATAATCATAAAAAAAAATGACATTAACTTCAATAGGAAAAAAGAAGCTAAAAACAGAGAGTATGATTCTTTGAATACGAGAAGGTTTCATTAAAAATAATTTTATCTAAAAAACTTTTCTTAGCTACAAACAGTTAAAATTTTTTTTAAAAAAAAACTATTTTTGAAAATACCTTATCTTTAGTAACTGAAAAAAATCGCCCCTCATAATAAAATGAATTTTGTTTCGCTGGCAGGTTTTTTTCTAACCCAGAATTTTAACTTGCCTGACCATTTATCCTCCATCTGATGGGCTTGGTTCACCTTCCTGAAGAAGCATGCCGCTGTAAACCACCAACAGTTAATGTAGCAACTGATGCATCATATATTTATGCGCTAAAACTGTTAATCTGCAAATGAGTTTTATGGCTCCAACAATGACGAGGTTATCCCCCATCTTACCTTTCCTCTTATGTGGCGCATAGACATTGCCCTTGCTACAAGTCCGAGGACTTTCAATGTGTTACACAAAAGTTGACATCAATTTGTCAAAAGAGAAAAAAAAAAGAAATCTTAGAAAATAAGTAGTATTATACTATTTTAAATTTGAAATCATGTTCAACAGAAAGTTCAGCATCTCAGATGCAGATTTTCTTCATATGGTTGTTTGTTAGACCAAAATATTACCTCCAGAGAAAGTGTTTTTATTCCAGAAGTTAAATGCAGCAACTGTACATAAGCTCCTCAACATTAAAGTTTGAAATGTGAATTAAAGAAGGCTTAAGTGGTCTGGTTTGAAGAAGGCTTGAGAAGTTTCAGAGTCAAACCATTAGTTTGAACACCCAAATTACCTGTCTCTGATTTGGTAGAAATAGAAGAAAGAGAGAGGAAGGAGCATAGAAAATGGAGAGTGGTTCTTGGAAACAAAGAGGCAGGAAAGATAACTAAGCTACCTTTCAACTCATTCTTCCCTTCTTGCCCTTTCTGATGGTATTCTACCTCCTTATGCAATAATTCTCTTCTGGCATCACATTCTGAATTCTTGCTGCAAATATTTACAAGAAGAAGAAAAACCAGAACTTAGGAATTAACTCACCTCATGTTCATTTTGAACTTGATTCAATCAAATCTACCTAGGAAACTGATTCACATGACCAAAATCAGCCCTGCAGCAGAGCTGGATGTGTATGATACAAGAGAACTGCAATCCTAAAACATTCATGGAACTATAAACTCAAAGCCTGTGTTAAGGGTATAGTTCCCTAGTTCCTGAGACTAGGAAGCCACATGCTTTTTCCTTTCTTTTATCTAAAGAAACTCCTCAACTAGTTTTCCAAAATCAAATTTCCCATTACAACATTCTACAGCATTCACAACTTCTTGAAATGTAGAGACACTGCACGGAACAACTAGCTTCTTCCTTTGCTCAAAACCATATTCATTGTACGATTTCTCCAGCAACATCTTGAAGAGTGGATGAGACAGGAAGCTGGTTGGCACTACAAATCTTTCTTCCTCCTCTCCTACATAAACAGCAAAAAATCCAGATGGGGTCGATGCAGTAGGAGACATTTCCTCAAATTCCCTTAGCAAGCATTCATATTGTGATTGCTCGCGATCACCTCCACCCATGCCCTTCACTTTCTTGGCTAGCTTCTTTAAGGAAACAATTTTTTTTCCTAACATTTTTTCCTTCTGCTCTTTGTGATTGAAACTTGGGAAGAGAGGCAGAGCAGTTTGGGAAGATAAAGAAGTGGGGAGCTGGAAGAAAGAGGTGGTCTCATGTCTAGTGCTTAGTGGGTGGGGGGAGAATTTGTATCGTGGCTAGAGAGGGAATGTCTCAGAATTGGTCATGTTTTGACTTGTCAATAATTGGGAATCTATGAACACGATTTCTAACTTGTAAAAAATGTCCGACATTTACTTTGACTCATCAATAGTTAAACAGGAAGAAAGCATCGAACTTTAGACTTGACAAAAAAGTTAGAGATGAATGATGAGGTGCAACCCCATTTTGAATTTTGATTGATAGGACATTATGCACCACATTTGTTGGTCAATTATTGTTGGGTGGCTAAGAATATGATAAAAAGAGTTTGGTTTTCTATCTCAGAGAGTGGTAAAAGATATCAAGATGCATAAAATCCATTAATATTTGATCGAATCAGCCTTTAAAGAGTGATAACTAACCCAACTGCTAAACAAATCATTTCTTAGTTGAATCAAATGCCAGCCACTAATCAGTTTAATGCTTCTTTGATTATCAACAAAACACCCACATAATCTTCAAGAAAACAAATGAACCACTTCCGTCTTATTCACCTTTCTTTCTTCTGTTTCTGCTAAGTGGAGTGATGCAACATAATCCATTCCATGATTGAATCAAACACTAAAGTTTTTTAGGGACTTAGAAATATTCTTCAGTAGTGAACTCTTAACATTTCTGTTTGTCTTATTGAAATGTTGGTTGAGACGTGTAAAGAAAACAACCCACCAAATCAGAAGAAAGAAAAATCATATATCATATACCATAAAATAAAAAGAATAAGAATAAAAATATTAACAAATAAGTTTGCTATTGACAAGGGGAGAAGTCGGTGGAAGGTCTTATGTTTGGTGGGTTCCATGAAGTGGGAATAAAGCTAATTCAATAAATCAAACATAGTCAAATATACCTACTACCTTCATTTCTAGATACTCCAACCTGCCCCAAACGTGTGTGGAGCAAAGGCCAAAAAGTTAGCCCTCTACATAAAGCTGAAAACAGGGCCGGCATTTTCATCCTCTGTAATGTCAAATGAGAGACAAAAAGGGTTGGAATATCCAAAAAAGAAAAGAAAAATGGGAAGGGTTGA